TTCTGAATAGCACTTTACTTTAGTACAAAATCGTAAAAAAATAGAGGAACACTCAAGTGAATTCTGTTCCACGTACCGTTCACTAATAAGGACTCTTCGGATAAATGAGGGGGGATGAAACTCATTATCAGATGATTACAGAAATAAGAGAATCTTGTGTAAAGGATCTGCATCTGAATTTTCTACTTGAGAAGTTCTTTAGTAGCTCATTTAAATTTTCCAAAATGCTTCGCGTCTAAAAATCCGAAAAAGAAAGGATAAGTTTGGAAATATTTGAAGCTACATGACGCAATAAGTTGTTTTCCTCATCTATACACTATAGGTTTTTATAAGCATTCACCTTAACTATTTACCGTAACTTGTTAGTTCGAATTGAAGATTAGATTTCAAAAAGCTGCTGAAAAAAGCTGCGATGCAGCAAATGAATTTATGAACGCTCTTTACTATTTTGATCTTCGTTCTTTTTCTCCTTTCGTAAGTAAATTGCGTCCGTTTGTACCGAATGCACCTGATATCTCTGACATGCTTTTTCCATTTTCTTATCAAAGTTTACAGCTTTAGCTCAAGTTTCCTGTTATTGCCCAACCAACTGATGAGTCGCTTTAATCGTTTCACATACCTTCTTTAGTCATATTTTTCCATACTTGACACACATCCGGATTCCCACCAGAGAAGGCAGTGGGCACCAAAGCGGTGGTACCCGCAATTGCAGTTTGAGAACACCATGCCAAAAGGAAGAATAGATGAAGCATATAAAGTGGTCCTGGAAAAGCAAAATTGAGATTTGGCAGCGAGGCACTGAGACTATTTAGGCTGCATGGAAACAGATGCAATGAACAGGAAACAAGAAGTGGGAGACAAATTTAGAGTCGTTATCAGTGGCAATTCACCTTAAGCAAAACTTTCAGCTTCGACGAAGGCGGAAGCAAATATGAGAACTCGTAAAAGATCGTTGTGTGGGAGTTTGATAAGACAGATATAGACGTTGTCCACACTGCACTGTTCACATTAAATCAAATATGGAAGTTCAAAGAAAAATGAAAGATTTTATAGAAAAGTTAAAAAGAAGAAAAGTTAAAGCACGATAGATATTCGAATTGCGCACTATTACAACCTTATAACTGTTAACTTAAACATTCCAAATTGTTT